AGGTTTCCTAACAGTGCCTGCCCACTGCTGGGTGAAACTTGGTTTTTGACCTCTGGTGGGTAGGGTCATGTCTAGAAGCGTTTATGGCTCAGGAATTCTGCTGACAGGTGGGGCTGTGTTCCCACTCAGTATGTTTTGGCCTGAGGCTTCCCTACAGGCTGCTGGGTGGGGCTAGGTGTTGGTGCTAATGATCCAATCAAGATAGCCTCCAGGAAAGCTCATGTAGATTAACACTTCTGGAATGTCTGCCACCAGCTTTTATGTCCCCTGGGTGAGCCACAGCCACCCCTATGTCCCCAGGAGACCTTCCAAAACCAGCAGGCGGGTCTGGCCCAGGTTCCTATGAAATCACTATCTCTGCCCTTGGACCCGGCACATGCGAGATTCTGTGTATGCTTCCCAAGAGAGTGAAGGCTGTTTTCGCTAGTCCTTGTGGGGCTCCTGGAGCTAAGCCCCACTGGCCTTCAAAACCAGATGTCCTGGGGGGCTCTTCCTCCTCCCAATGCCAGGACCCTGGGTTGGGGGAGCCTGATGTGGGGCTCTGAACTCTCACTCCTGTGGAAGGGCCTCTGTAAGGATCACCCACCCACAGGGTATGAGGCCCAATTATATCACAAGCACGCCCCTCCTACCGTCCTGCTGAGGTTCCCTCTTTATGTTTCCAGTTGAAGATCTGTTTTGCTAGGTTCCAGTCTTCTTTTTTTTCTGATGGATGTTTAGCAGTCAGTTGTGGTTTCACTGTAGTCAGGAGGAGAGCCCAGGTCATGGTCCTACTACTCCACCTTCTTGACTGGAAATCCTGGTGAGCTGTGTTGAGGCAGAGGAGGAGTGTAAAGATGGCAGCCCCTGGTCTATGCAACTCCACAGGCCCCTAGATGTATGCCAAACCTGAAAGCTGCCCCTCAGGCCAAAGCTCCAGGACAAGATAATAGGCCTTCTTTATAGAAAGGTCAAGGGTGTGTTTCAGTCTCCTGTTTGTGCAGTGCCCTGGGGGTGGTAGCTTGCCAAGGGTTGGCTCTTGTTACAGTTCTGTGGGACCCAGGAACACAGCTCCCTTGACCTCCAGAGTCAGGACCTCCACCCCAGGTGGCAGCTGCAAAAAATGGGGCAACAGACATGTGTAAGAGTGCCCCTTTGAGGTGTCTGGAAAGGTTTACAGTGTTCTAAGTGTTTTTAATTAGAAGCGTACCCCTCAGGCTGCAGACTTGATAAGCTTGTAGACCTCTTTCACAGAAAAACTGAGCTCCTCAGTCTGTTAACTTCTTGTGCCTTGAGGATGGTAGCTGTTTAAGAACGTTTTCTCCATTGGTTACAGTCCTGTGGGTCCTGCAAACATACGCTCCTCTGGCCACCAGAACCAGGCAATGTAGAGCTATCTCCTGGCAGCACCTGCAAAAATAGGGGCACCAGACAAGAGTATAAGCTCCTTTCTGGGAGATACCGCTAAGCTGGAGCAAGGCAGGGAGAGAATATAAAGATAGCTTCCGTCAGCCTCTGTTGGCCTCTGTTCCCTGAGAGCACTTCTGTCAGCCCCTATAAATGCATCAGACCAGAATCCTGTCCTTCAGGCCAAAACTCCTGGACAAGGAAACAGGCCTCTTTCTTGGAGAGACTGGAGGTTTGTTTCAGTCTGCTGTCTGCCTAGTGCCCCGGGTGGGTGGGGGGTGGAGGGGGGTCCTGCCAAGAACTCTCTGAATGTTATAGTTCCATGGGTCCCAGGAACACAAGTTTCCTGGCCTCCAGAGCCAACCAGTCAAGAAGTATCCCCTGAGTGGCAGTCACAAAAACCAGGACACCAGACCTGTGTTAAAGCTACCCCCCAGGAGATACTGGTCCTTTGGAGCACAGTAGAGGGGGAATGTAGAAATGGGGCCCACCAGCTTCTATCCCTAGAGAGTAACCCCAGCACATCCCTACCTCTCTGGCCGACACTTTAAGACTAGTAAATGCATTTCCTTCACATAAAAAGTTTTCGAACAGCTGCTTCTGTGTTGGGCTCTGGGGAGAGCCCTTTACGAGCCATTCTCAGTTTACTGTAGACTTCGGGGTCTCAGGACGCAAGTCTATTGGTTTCCAAAACCAGATACATGTCTTGGGAGCTCATCTCTCAGGTGAAGGTCTTAAAAGCCGAGGTGCCTTATGTGGGGTACAAACTCTTTGCTCTTCAGGAGGAAGCTCTGAGTTTGTGAGTTCCCTCCCAACGGTGGGTAGCTGTGCTGGGCATGAGGTTTATGCCCAGACTGTATCTCAGCTTCTCCTATCCACTTTGATTTAGCCTTTTTTCTTGTTTGCCCCATGTGAAGGAGACGCTCAGCTAGTTTTCAGGTCTTTTGGTCTTTTCTTTTAAACTGGAAATTGATCCATATGTAGCTGTAGAGTCGGTGTGTCTCTGGGAAGAGGTGCGTTCAGGATCTTCCTATGTCACCATCCTGAACTGCCTCATAGATGCAAAACCCCAGGCACCAGATGTGTATAGAAGCTCCCCTCAGGGAGATACTGGTGCTCTGGAGCAGACAGAGGACAAGCATGAAAATGGCACCAACTGGCTGGAGAGAGAAATGGGGAAAGATGGTGCTTGCCAGGGAAAGAAAGAAAAAAGTTCTGTCACAGGAGAGGCCCTTGAATATGTGTCAAATCAGATGCTTTCCCCTCATGACAATGTTCAGAGACAAGCAAATGATCCTTTCCCACACGAAGTCCAATCAGCCGTGGATCAAGTGTGCTGGTGCTGGGCCCTGGGGTGGCAGAGGCCAGCATACAAGTTGGTTTTCAAAGCTAGATGTTTTGAGACAAATACACTAATGGAACAGAATTGAGAGCCCAGAAATAAACCTATGCACATACATGGTCAACTAATATTTGACAAGACAGCCAAGAATACTCAATGAGAAAAGACAGTCTTTTCAATAAATAGTGCTGGAAAAACTGGATATTGACATGTCAAAGAATGAAACTTTACCCTTATCTTACACCAACCAATCACAAAAACTAACTTGAAATGGATCATAAGACCTGAAACTATGAAACTTCTAGAAGAAAACATTTTTAAAAAGACTTCTTGACATGAGTCTTAGTAATGATTTTTTGGAAGTCACACCTAAAGCATAACCAACAAAAAATTTTAAAAACAAACAAGCTGGACTGTATCAAACCAAAAGGCTTCTGCACAGCAAAAGAAACCAAAGTAAAAAGACAACATACAGAATGGGAAAACATATTTGCATACCATATATCTGATCAGAGGCTAATATCTAAAATATATAACAAACTCATACAACTCAATAGCAAAAAAAAAAAAAATCCAATATTAAAAATGGGCAAAGGACCCGAACAGACATTTTTCCAAAGAATATATATGAATAACCAACAGGTCCAAGAAAAGATGCTTAATATCACTAGGCACTAGAGAAATGCAAATTAAAACCACAATGAGATAGGACCTCATGCTTGTCAGAATGGCCATCATTGAAAAGACAACAGGCAACAAATGCTGGTATGGATGTAGAGAAAAGGGAACCCTGGTACACTGGTGGTGAGAACATAAATTGGCATAGCCACTAAAGAAGACAGTATGGCGATGCCTTAAAAAAATAAATATAGAACTACCATATGATTCAGCAATTACACCCTCTGGGAGTATATTCAAGGGCAACAAAAAGACTAATCCAAAAAGATATCTGCACTGTCATGTACACAGAAGCATTATTTACAATAACCAAGACATGGAAACAGTCTAAGTGTCCATTGATGAATAAATGGATAAAGAAGTGGTATACAATGAAAGATTATGCAGCCGTAAAAAACAAGGAAATACTGCCATTTGTGACAACATGAAAGGATCCTGAAGGCATTATGCTAAGTGATGTAAGTCAGAGAAAGACAGATACTGTATGATTTCACTTACTTGTGCAATGGGAAAAAGAAAACCAAAAATAAAATCTCCCCAAAACCCAAACATCGTATTCATAGAAAAAGAGAAAAATTTCTTATTTTAAAATCTGTATGTGATGATAGATATTAACTAATCCTACTGTGGTAATCTTTCACTATACATATATATCAAACCATCATGCCGTACACCTTAAACTTACACAGTGATGTATGTCAATTATTTTTTGAAACTAGAAAGAAAAAAGCTGGTTTTGGGGGCTCATCTGTCAGGTGCTGTTCTTAAAGTTGGAGATGTCTGATAGAGGTCCAAACCCTCACTCCTCAGAGAGACGGTCCTCCTGATTGTGGGCTGCCAGGCTAGGCTGGGGTTTATGGTGGGACTGTGTCCCTGCCTCTCCTACCTGCTTTGATGCGGGCCTTCTACTCGTTCACTGGTGTATAGTCACTAACCAGTTTTTAGGGTTTTTTTCTCAGAGGTTAGTTGTTCCTTACATGGCTGTAGATCCAGTGTGTCAATGGGAAGAGATGAGTTCAGGACCTTTACATGTCTCCATCTTCAAAGCTGTTTTTTGTTTTTAAGCTGGTGGTAAATCCTTTTAAATTTCAGGTCATTTTGGGAAAAAGACAAAAAACAACACCCAGGTCATACATTTTCTAAACATTTAGTTTACATTATAGCAGTATCTCCCCACCAGGAAAAAAAAAATGTATCTTTTGGAAAGTCAGCTTTTTTGTCTTAAAAACACTATCAATCCAAAATACAGGGAGACAAGTTTCATCATAGATGGAACACTAAAGCAAAGCTAAGTACTGTAACACTGAGGGGAAAAGCAAGTTAGGGTCATTTCTCATTCTTGCCAGGTGCCTTTTATTTCCCAAAAGAAATGTTGGGAAGAAGCCACTGAAGTACCAAGAGAAAAAGAGAGCAACCACTGAGTTCAGAAGGCGGGAAGGAAAGGAGGGAGAAACAGATTACTGGTTCAGTCTGTCAAGGCTAAAGTCACGGCAGCTTAATCTAGATTGTCAAATCACAACAGTTTTGCCAGAAATGTGTTTTCTAACTCCAAACTTTGGAGATTTCAATAATGTTTGATCTATCACTTTTTCAGGCATCAATAAATTTACAAAAAAGCTTCGGAGTCCGTATGCAATTGATAACAATGAACTACTTGACTTCCTTTCCAGAGTCCCTTCAGATGTGCAAGTGGTAAGTAGGTTACTACTGTTACTACAGGCATGCCTCGTTTCATTGCACTTTGCTGTACTGTGCTTCACAGATACTTCATTTTTCACAAATTGAAGGTTTTCGGCAACCCTGCCTTGAGCAAGTCTATTGGTACCATTATTTGACCACTATTTGCTCTCACTCTGTGTCTCTGTGTCACATTTTGGTAATTCTTGAAACATTTCAAACTTTTTCATTATTATATTTGGTATGGTGGTCTACAATCATTGATCTTTGATGTTACTATTGTAAAAAGATTAAGACTTGCTGAAGGCTCAGAAGATGGTTATTAGCATTTTTTAGCAATAAAGTACTTTTTAATTAAGGTATGTATTGCTTTTTTAGACATAATGCTATTGCACACTTAATAGACTACAGTATACCATAAACAGAACTTTTATATGCACTGGGAAACCAAAACATTCATGAGACTTGTTTTATTGTGATATTTGCTTTATTGTGGTGGTCTGGAAATGAAACTGCAATATCTCCAAGGTATGCCTGTATCATTTTAATATAGCAAGGCATTGCATTTTAACTTTTATTTAATTTTGAAGGTTTTGGAAGAGCCAGGTAAAGTTATTAAAGCCTGTAGCATATTTTGCTATAACATATTTTGCTGTTAAGGAATTTAGTCTAGTTAGGGTGTTACTGGAGAAGAACTTGTAGAGAAGATTGGAGCAGAAGGGTATGGCTCTGTGGTAGAGTACATGCCTGGTATGCACAAGGTCCTGGGGTCAATCCCCAGGACCTCCAATAAAAAATAAATAGACCTAATTACCTCCCCGCCCCCCCCAAATTTAGAAAAATTGAAAAAAAATTAGTTATCACCTCACACCAATCAGAATGGCCATCATTAAGAAGTCTACAAATAATAAATGCTGGAGAGGGTGTGCAGAAAGGGGAGCCTTCCTACACTGTAAGTAGGAATGTAAATTGTTGCAGCTGTTATGGAGGACAGTATTTCTTAAAAAACTAAAAATAAACTTACCATATGATCCAGCAATCCCACTCCTAGGCATATATCCTGAGGGAACTCTAATTTGAAAAGACACATGCACCCCAGTGTCCACAGAAGCACCATTTATAATGTCCATTGATAGATGATTGGATAAAGAAGTTGTGGTATATATGCAATGGAATACTATTCAGCCATAAAAAAGAATAAAAATAATGCCATCTGCAGCAACTTGGATGGATCTGGAGATCATCATTTAAGTGAAGTAAGCCAGAAAGAGAAAAAATAATACCATGTGATATCACTTATATGTGGAATCTAAAAAATAGACACAAATGAACTATTTACAAAACAGACTCACAGACATAAACTTATAGTTATCAGGGTGTAAAGGTGGGGTGGGAAGGGATAGACAGAGTTCACAGTTGCATACACTAGCTATATATAAAATAAACAAGTTTATACTGTATAGTGCAAGGGAACTATATTCAATAACTTGTAGTAACCTATGAAAAGAATATGAAAACAAATACACGTATGTGTATGACTGAAACATTATGCTGTGCACCAGAAATTGAGAACATTTTAAAGTGACTATACTTAAATAAAAAAAAAAAAAAAGGAAAAAAAAAAACAAAAAAAACTTGTAGAGATGATCGGGGAATGAGAAGGGTTGTATAAGGAACCTACCAGGGTGTCAAGGAGATAATCCTCCTTCAAGGAAGGTTCAGCTGGAGTTTGTGAAGGGAAGTCACCATAACCTGAAGGGAATTAGGAATATTAAATGATGAAAAGCAAAGTGTGCCAGCAGACATTTGAGAGAAACACTTCTTTGAATAATTTGCATGAATTAAGTGAATTTTAAAGATGTATTTTTGGAGAACAAACTGATTTCTAAAGACTGAAGGCACATCTCAATCATTTGAGGTTAATGAATGCCCACTGATCGTTAAGTATTTTCAGAGTGAAATGAGAATTTTTAAAAATTTATTTTTTTTTAATCAAACTTGAAGCTGAGTTGCAGCAGTATCTTCTTCCTTTGTTTCAGTTGAGTTTTAGATTTGGTATCAGACATGAGAGTGGGCTGGATGGAGATGAAGCCTATAGTAAACAAGCACACAATAAATTGCAAAGAACCATTATTTGGTCCTTCTTTAAAACAGATGACGATGGTTCTGCTTTTTATGTAATGCATATATGGGCAGTGGAGCCCCCAGCCTGTTACCAAAGTTCACATCAGGGCTCTCATGTAGTTTCTGGCAGGATTTCCCTTGACTCTCACTCTATCAGTCTATTGTATTCTGCATCCCAGCTGCACATCTCATACAGTTTCCAGAGCGAGCACTTTTTTCCCCCTCAAGCAGTCTCTCATTCCTTTGCTTTTCCTTCCTTTGCCAGAAAGTGGCCACCTGACCAGTCCTTCTCTGAACATTGTTTAAACAGGTGCAATACCAGGAACTGAAACCAGATCCTTCTCATAGCCCATGTAAAAGGAAGAAAAACAATCTCGGCTAGCCAGCTCCCAGCACTGAGGAGACCAGCATCTGTTTGGGAAGATAAAAGAAAAAGCCTTCAGCCTCAGCAGCATTTCCTTTCTTTCTGTTTTTTATTTATTTTACCTTTTTATCATGATTGAGAGAATTTGTAAATAGTGTACAAAGGCATATGTCTTTGAAAACATACTTCCATTGTACAGAACCAATTTGATAAAGGTTTAGCTACTGCTGTGTAAAAGCCTTGTTAACTGCGGGTGATACTATAACACATGGAACAACAAATGTAAGAATGGTAACATTGGGAGATACTCACTTCTCTAATTACAGGTGGAAGGACTACAACATTAGATTAAATGTTCAGCTGTGCTCTGATTTAATCTACATAAAATGGAAATGTCGATTTGATTTTAAAGTTTTTTTTTAATGTGACTATTTTTTATTCTAAAATAATCCATTACAGTTTTCTATGTTTTATACATTTCAAAAGGGAGGGGGGAATCCCACAACCTGAATAATGGAGCAGATGCATTTCAACTTAACATACATTCAGATCCTGACATTCATTCCTGTGCAAATTATTTATATATGACTAGGCTGATTTTAAGCTCATGAGTGAAGGCGTTATATTCACCTCAAGAGAATCTTCCACACTCTAAAATCATATAAAGAAAATTTCCAAGCCTTCTATCATTCCATCTCAAACCTTAAAATCTCTACAGAACTACACAAAAATACTGCCAGGTTTATAAATGATTGCCTATATGAATTTTTATACCTACCACTATTAATTTGTAGCAAATTAGCAACCCAGTTTAGTTGTCAAAAATATTAGCAAATTAAATCTGTTTTGCTTTTGGTGTCAGATTATGCCTCTGTGCATCTAAAAACATTTAATACTCAACTGTTCTCAGAAAAAAGTATCTGCTTTCTCATTAGGTTACTGAAATGCTTTAATGCATATTATGATTTTTGTTATTAGTGTGAATTTGACGTAGAGGCGAATGCAGTGTGCTAAGTGATATACCAGTGTTTCATTACATTCATTTAAAGAAAAACTATTATTCTTGAAAATATGAATGCATGAAAACCTATTTTGTAAAATAAACTGCTTATGGGGAGGGGGAGTTTGCCTTTAAAAAGTTTCACTACTTACCATAGAATCTATACTTAAAAATTGCATTCCCTAGACTCTTACGGTAGTTTTTATACCTAACTTCCTGGTATAATCAAGGGAGTATGCCTCTAGAGAGAGAAATAATTTGGTAAGAATATCTTACTTCTCTGACTTGGTAGGGGATAAAGCTTGGTTGAAATTGCTGCAGACAATGTTTTGCACTACTTTATTGATAATAGACTAGGAAAGGGTGAAGTTGGGGTTATGCTGGAAAAATGTAGAAATGCTAGAAGAAATATTTATTTCACTCTAATGGAAGATTCTTTAAAAATAAATTTAATCTCAAAGTTGATTTTTTAAAGTATTTTTATTTTAAAGCTATGTTGTTAAATACTATTTCTTATGATAGAACTATTTTGATCTGTTTATACACTATGCTTGAAAGAATGTCAATTAAATTCCCTTTCTACAGAAAGGCTTTGACCTCAATATGCTCTATTTAGCACATTATGTTTATAAATACATGCTTACATCTGCATACTATCATTGTTTGTTGCTAAGCATATACTCCATGGGGTTGTTGTTACTACAGAAAGTTTACTGATGGAGTAATTTGTTTGAAATAACTTTTGATTATACCCTGGATGAGATTTATGTTCCGTGCTGACAGTGTTTTACTCAAATGTCTACAAGCCTGATATTCTAACACCTCAGATGTACCTAGTGGATATAACCATTAACAGATGACTAATTTCTGTTTGTTTCATTCTATCAAATTTCAGATGTTTAGTTCAGTGGTAATGTTGACTATTCACTGCATTAAATAAATAAATAAAATAATCTTTTCTAAGTATAATGAGTTCTTTCTTCCTTCCTCTTTTTTTTTTTTTTTTTGCTGGTTGAGAGAGAAATGACACTTCACTGAAAGAAACCCAGGTTTGGTATGGAAAAAGGCTTTCCCAGAAATCTTCACCGTTCTTGTATAAAACCCAATACATTTGGCGGGGTGAGTAGCCAGTGAAGCTGACAGAGAAGTAAGACCGATCTTGAAGCATCAAAGTGATAATCAGAGGAATCTTCTTTGCTCTTAGAAACAACTGCATTTGCAGACTGAAAACAAGAGACTGTGTCTAATGGAATTTTAACCATTTCTTTTCCCTTCTCACAAAGGTACAGTTTTGCCTTTTGAAAGCTGCTTCACTTGATTTGGTTTTGAGAGATTTGTAAACATGTAAATATTTCAAGATATCTTGGTAAGAGACTGGATGTCACTCTACTACCAATTTAGACTGCTAAATACAGTAGTCATATAAACTATTAAATATATACCTCACAGACCTATGGTCAATTAATCTTTGACAAAGGAAGCAAGAATGTACCATGGAGAAAAGACAGTCTCTTCAGCAAGTGGTGTTGGGAAAACTCGACAGCAGCATGTAAATCAATGAAGTTAGAAGACTCCCTCACACCATACACAAAAATAAACTCAAAATGGCTTAAAGACTTAAATATAAGACACGACACAATAAACCTCCTAGAAGAAAGCACAGGCAAAACATTCTCTGACATAAATCTTAGCAGTGTTCTCCTAGGGCAGTCTACCCAGGCAATAGAAATGAAAGCAAAAATAAACAAATGGGACCTAATTAAACTTGTAACCTTTTGCATAGCAAAGGAAACCATAAGCAAAACAAAAAGACCACCTACGGAATGGGAGAAGATATTTGCAAATGATGCGACTGACAAAGGTTTAATTTCCAGAATATATAAACAGCTCACATGAGTTAACAACAACAAAAATCCAATCCGAAAATGGGCATAAGACCTAAACAAGCAATTCTCCAGTGAAGACATATAAAGCGACAATAGGCACATGAAAAAATGCTCAATATCACTAATTATCAGAGAAATGGAAATCAAAACTCCAATGGAAGTAGACCTCATACCAGTCAGAATGGCCATCATTCAAAAGTCCATAAACGATAAACACTGGAAAGGGTGTTGAGAAAAGGAAACCTTCCTACACTGCTGGTGGGAATGTAGTTTGGTGCAGCCATTATGGAAAACAATATGGACATTCCTCAAAAAACTAAAAATAGACTTACCATATGATCCAGTAATCCCACTCCTAGGCATATATCCAGAGGGAACTCTGATTCAAAAAGATACATGCACTCCAGTGTTCATAGCAGCACTGTATACAAGACATGGAAGCAATCTAAATGTCCATCGATGGATGACTAGATAAAGAAATTGTAGTTTATTTATACAATGGAATACTACTCAGTGATAAAAAAAAGAATAAAATAATGCCATTTGCAGCAACATGGATGGAACTGGAGATCGTCATTCTAAGTGAAGTGAGCCAGAAAGAGAAAGAAAAATACCATACGATATCACTCATATGTGGAATCTTAAAAAGAAAAAAGAGAACACTAATGAACTCATCTATAAAACAGAAACAGACTTGCAGACATAGTAAACAATTTTATGGTTACTGGGGGAAAAGGGGTGGGAATGGATAAAATTGGGAGTTTGAGGTTTGCAAATGGTAACCACTGTTTATAATTAAAAAACAAATTTCTTCTGTATAGCACAGGGAAATATATTCAATATCTTATAATAACCTTTAATGAAAAAGAATATGAAAACAAATATATGTATATATGCATGACGGACATTATGCTGTACACAGAAATTGACACACTGACTATACTTAAAAAAATTTATATATATATAAAAATATATAAAATATAAAAAATATAAAAAGATATATATATACACACACACACATTCCTCAGTATGTTTTAGTAAGTAAATTCATTGAAGGTCATTCATTATCCAAACTATTATTATTGCCACTAATTGTGATAATTCATGGGAAATGCATATTTAAAACTTTTTTCCATTTATAAAAACATGGTACTTCTTGTTCATTTTTGGTACTGTTCCACAGACTCAAACTGACAGATGCTGTATGCATTCCAAATTTTTTGAACCACTCCATGCACTAAGATAATCTGAATTTAAAGTTTCTTTAAATGACTTTGCTTTATGATATATTTATTGAGTACCTACTGTATGACTTGCCATGTCATAGGCAATGGTCAAACCAGTAATAGTATATCAAAATCAAATCTGGAGCAAATTTTAATTGATCTGTTTCTACAGAATTTCATTGTGTCATGTAAAAGTGAAGAAAAATTTAGTAGTAAGCGCTCTTATTCAGGGACCATAGGAATTTTGTATTTCCATTTTGATCTCAATATCCAAATGCCTCTAATGCCGAGTACTCTACTTTTGTATTAACAAGTCTTATTCAGAGGCTTTAATTTTAATTTATACATTTGTTAAATGTACCTAAATGTTTATTTTTCAGTTTTATATTCCATTAAAAAGAGACCAAAATATATAAGGCAGTTACTTGCTCCAGAAACACAGGTAAAGAAAGTCACCATTGTACTTCTTGCAAAAGCCTCAGGTATTAGTAAATTAATGCTTAAATTCTGGGGCTTTAATGTCAAGTGTGAGAGTGTGTGTGTACAGATGCCTATTCCTTTGATCAGAGTATCTAGAATCAGCCTTTTCTAATTGCTTGGTCAGGTATGAATTAAAACCACATGAAAAATAATGTAATTAATACTTACAACAGTGTCACTCCTTTAGATTACAGTTCTCTTTCCCAGGATGACTGGTGTAACTCACTTGAAGAAAAAACGGATTTTTTTTTTTTTTGGTGAAATTGTTACCTCTTCCTCAGTTTCTACATTTGTACAGTTGCAGTCACATCATAAGATTTATTTTAGCTGAATCTCTGAGATTTAAGAAACACCAAGGAAAATAAGGAAAATCTCTCATTATGTAAGAATACTATGCAGAACTAAGAAGCATTAAATGTCCAGAGAGGTCACATGCTGTAGAAACTAACAACACTAAAAGGTTTGCTGGAATTTAATGATTCTACCTGTGCTTTTCCAAGGGCATCGGGGTTAAGAACCAAAAAAGGGGGGAGGGGGAGAACAATGAAATATGTAATTGGCTTCAAATGAGTTTCAATTTATTGGGCTCTTCCTTCACATTCTGAACTAACAATAACAAAAAGTGCTGTGCTGCATGCAGTGTTTTTGCAGACAGGTTTGTCATTTATACGACGGTTGTTGACGTTGTATCTCCAAACGTCACTGAAAAATTGTATGACTCCATTTTAGAAAAGGTAATAAAATGGCACTGCTCTTCTGCTCTACTCAACAGTGTTACTAGATTAACCAGAAAAATCTATTTGTACTAAGGAAAACAGAAATAGGTAAGTAGCTATGCCAAAGTATTTTTCAGTTTGTAGCATAAATAAAATGCAACTTAATTCTCTCCTGCTATAGGTTCTTCAATGGTCCTTCAAAAGAGAGAAGGAGTGACTAACCTGAGAGTCAAGCAGTGAGCCTACAAACCACCTCTTATTTTCTCAGGATAACTGCATCTGAAGACACCTGGCTGAGTCGGGTTGCTGCTGCTACTTGTGAGGCAAGATGGTAAGACAGGCTTAGTTCCACGTTCTGGTCAAAGACAAACTTCAAAATGATGAGAGTCAACTTGAGGCATTTTATTTTGCCAGAGTTCAAATGATAAGTTTAGGGGAAATGCTGCAAACAGAGAGGTGCATACCTGGCCCAACCACTCTTAATTGTCTCTTGATTACTGGAGACACACCTCAGACAACAAAGAAGCTTAATTACAAAGATAGCTAGATCACAGAAGAGAGGAGAAGGGAGGAAATGCCAGTATCTGCCCCAAGTTCAGAGATCTTCTTTTAATAAAGCTATTCAGAAAACCAGAAATCTTCTAAGCTCTGCATCATTCCCACAAAACATTCCTCCTTTATACAGTACTGACTATGACAATTACCAGTCAAAATCTGTGTTATAACTTGTAATACTGAAATCATGGAAATCAATGTATGTCAACTAATAAACTCTCCAACCTTAAACAATGGAATACTTGGCCTTTACCTTTGTTCTGGAACTCTTACAAACTTCAGATTCCATTAACACAGAGACTAGCAAACCATAGCAAAGTCTCTGAAGCACATGGGAACCCACCCAGAAAAATAAAATACTATGTATGTTTGAAGAAGTAGTTTTAAAGTAGATCAATGCTGTGCTTTGTTTTATTTGCTTGAAATGGCTGAACATTATTTTTTAAATTAACCTGTAGGATTAAAAAAAAAACAGTTTCAGATATAATAGAGGAAAAACTTCTGGGGGGATATCAGAAAACATCTGACATTTGAGAATTTAACCAAGAATTAGACATACTAACTCTCTTATAATGCGGGATGCCAGGTACACACTGTCCATTCTTGTAGCACTATGATGCTAATACAAGGAACACACATGTACTTGGAAGGCCCATGACCATGACAACTCTGACAAGCAGGTGAGAAAGCTACCCCTCAAAACACAATGATGTGATACTCTCCAGCATACTGTAGTTATGATATAGGTATCCAATGTATTTATATAAAACAATTGTTAAAATATTGTACTTTGAATGTTGTACTACTTAAACAGTAACTTACAGAAAGCCATTTTCCTTATCTTCACAGAAGAGGTGCAAAATGATATGCTCTGGACAACAGTGGGAAGATACTTGCACTTGGAGTTCTCTCAAATAGACGACTGACTGCTTATATCTGAATTAACATTGTAAACAGTAATACCTATTAAGAAGGGAATTTTTTCCAGATCTATGATGATAAAAGAAAACAATTCTGAATTTAATCACACAGTAGTCAACTCCCTTTAAAGGAATTTAAGGTACAGCTTTTGATAAATGTAGCCATCATTTAATCCTCCAGTTTCTCTC